ACATGAAATGCATTATATTTAACTGTGTTTACATGTTGATTTCAACATCACATCTCAACAATGAAATTGAGCTATTAGTACCTATAATATAATTCAGGTGACCGCTAAGGCCCTTCGGCTTCTTGTTCATTTTAGCGAGCCTCTGGCGATCTAAAATGAACAAACCGTGACTCGTTTCATAGATTTCATATGATATGGAAACGAGTGTATGATCCTTTTCATCATATAACTGAAATACTGTTGATGCATTCATTAATCACCGTCCGTCATTTCATCAGCTGTTTTTTATTGACATGACCGAAGCACTATCAAAATGTAGGTCGGAAATATCTGCGCTGTAACAAATAGTTACAAATAATTTCTGAATAATCACTCAAACTACACGGACAAATATTAAAATATAATTCATTTTAAAATGCTATATTCAAATTAAAGGATACCCGAACAGACCATCCCTGCTACATTAAAACATTGGGCCTTTTTGTTCATGGAAGAAAGTGGGCTTCATGAATGCAAAGGCATGAAAAGATAAATGGCAGGATGGATAGAACACTACCGCTACAGATCTAAAAGCTGTGGATTTGAGTGCAATTGATTTGTGTCCTTGTAACGTTGAACCCATCAAGTTGAAAAAATACCAAAAGCATGGCAAGAGCAATCAAATAATGAATGCGTGTGAAATATACAGAGGCGAAGTTCAAACTGCAGAAGTCCAATATAATGTTGCGAAGAAGAAAATAAAACAAGTGAGCTCTTTCTCAAATCTTGATTAAATTATACTAGATATCGACTATTTCTTCCATATTTGCTTATGGTAGATTCCGTGAATGTCCTAAGACGTCATGTTTTGGCGATATTTCTTTTATCAGTTGCGGAGTTATCTTTGTATATTATATCATTATATCATTCGGGAAAAGGATTCTGTTGTAATTATGTTCAATTGTATCTACGAGTACCTCTGCCACTTTCTGTCTTCTTCCTTCTCTCTTTGAAGAAAGAAGACAGATAACATAATTTTCAAGCCTTTCGCTGAATTTCTGATGTAAATATTTTATGTTTAAAGAACAATTTTAGTAAAAATAAAATTATGTTGAAGATATTTCATTGATTGATGTGTTATTTATAGAATTTATTCATAGCTAACAGCACGTCCATGATCACTTAATGTAATATTAGATGTTCGATAGTAACAAGACCAGTACTGGTTCAACTGATATGTAATCTACCACACACATAATCTTATCCAAAATCTTATCTAGCTACGAGCTGTTTACCGAGAGTGATTTTCAGAGTGAAATTAAAGTGAGTTTACTGTCAGTTGAAACGATCAAATCGTTCAAGTATACGTTGTAATACTAAGGATGTTTTTAATTTGAAAATCAATTCGGTTATGAAACTGACGTGCCGATTTCTAACAAACCGTACAGGTATCGCAGATAAAAACTAGTGGTAAAAAGAGATTACCAACTAAGTGCATTATATTTAATGTCTTTGTGTTTTCTTCTGTTGTAATGATGATGTTATCAGTAGCAAATAACTTATCCCTTATTAAGTCATGGGCTGGGCGGTAGGCACTACCGTAGACCGGGCTTTAAGACATAGAATAAAACCCACGATTCTGCAAGGGGTTGGGGACCCAAAACATAAACAAAATGTTAAAATTACTGATTCTGTCGGCCATTTTGTTTTTTCGATCTGTCTCAAAAGTAAACATGTACAACAACGTTCCAAAGAAAGGCTTAATATTAAATTTGTGAAAGATACCTCCAGTACTTTCTGAGAAATAGCGTAAACCAACTTTCACTGTCAAAATCCAAGATAGCCGCCTGTCGACCATCTTGTTTATTCCATCAGTCTCGAAAGTAAAAATAAAATATTAAAGACGACAGGGAACCTACATATCAAATCTGAGAAATGAAACTCATATACTTGCAAACTTTAAAATATTTTGGTCCATTTCAAATGTGTATACTTGTATTGAACATATTTTTACTTTGCCTAGTGACGTGTCCGGATATTGATAGTGTTAAAAATCATTAGACACAGATACACATGTAAATGCTAAATTGGTTTGTTTTTTTATAAAATTTCTAATTTTCATCTTTATAGTAATATTTAAGCACATGGAAAACGTTTATTTTGTAGTTTAATATATATGGGTCAGAAATGTTGTGATGATGAGAAGGGCAGAATTGTTATTATTTATTTTAACGCTGATATTGAATTTTAACTGAAACCTTTGAACATGAACAACATACAGGGAGAGTGACTGGTATTTCCTCACTTGTCAAAAGCTTGTTATTGGACAATGATTAATATATGTCGTCAAACATCTATAAACGATCCATGAAAATTGACCAATGGCAAATTGATGTTATCGTTCAAGTTGTGCAATACAAATATTTTAATATATTGCTTGGTTTATTCGCGGCTAATTAACACTGTACTGTTAATGATATCAATACTTCTACTACGCCTACATTGTACATCATCTATACCGTCTAACACCACCTATACCCTCTTACACCACCTATTTCCTCATACCCTCCTATAACACCTACACCACCTGCACCTGCTACAACAGCTATATCCTTCAACAAGAGATCCCAGAGGGATCTTGGCGCCCATCATTGTACCGTCTGTATTAGATCTTTTCTCTTATGTTTTATCGGGCCATGTGAGCAATACATTCAACTTGAAGCAACATTTGATCTAAACTTTATACTGCTAAGTTTAACACTGAAATTGAGTGGGTTTTTTACACATTTACTGATACAGTACTTAATGTGATATAGATAGAACTTATAATTGCAATATGATAAAGATCTGTTAAGTACTTCCTTGGGATATAATGATACTATTCCTGAAAATTCCAAAAAGGAAACATACACAACAAGGGACCAGGAAGATTCGTTTTCAGAAATAGCGATAACAATATTTAACTCTTAAAATCAAAGATTAACACCTCCAGTTCTGCCAAAGAAATAGCGCTTACAAATGTTAACCCTTAAATTCAAGATGCTTCTTATCGTCCATCTTGGGTTTGTGATCAGTCCCTAAATTCTTTTCGGTTTAATTTGATAAAGATCCCTCCAGTACTTTCTAAGAAAAAAAACTAACAATCTTTTAACACTGAAATTCAAGATGGCGACTGTCAACCATATTGGTTTTCCGTTCAGTACCACAATTCGTAAATAGGGACCATACGGACCCTCCTATGAATTTTGAGAAAGATTCCTCCAGTACCTCAAGAGAAATAGCGATGAAAAACAAATGCAAGATGGCTACCCATCCTGGTATTTTGATCAGTCCCGAAGTTCGATATACATAACTAGGAAACATGGGAAACCTTTGTGTGAAAATGATTCCTCCAGTACTTTATGAATAATAGCGCTAACAAGAATTGTTCAAGGACGGTCGGACGACGGACCATCGATGAAGGCTGATTTGAATAGCCCTATATCTGCTGATGGTAGCCTAAAAATGCGCAAACCTCCGAAACCACCTACGTCCACTTACATTACCTACACCACTAACATATATTTACTTTTGCAATGCAACCCAGTTTATGAACATAACCAGCAGAAATGCACTTCATTTGAGTATAAAAACAAAAAAAAAATATCGTGACGTAACACGTGGTTCTCTTAAGACGTCATAGATTAACCTTGTTCAATGAGAGTTGTATCGCTTTGTTTCGGATAACATGGTAAATGCCCTTGCGTCAAACGCCCAAATGAGTACAGTTTATAATTGGCGCCAATTTTTGTTTTAATAAGGTTGGTTCGTCAATGTCTTTTAAATAACGACGCGTATACAAAACACATTAGTAAATAAATAGCTTAATAACAAATAAAATTAAACAGCTGTTCTTTAGTAGAAAAAAAGATTGAACGGCGTTGTTTTTAAATTTTCATGCCGGTATGAACGCAAATCGGTTACATCCATATTACACACGACAGCCCTGCATCATTTATAGCCTCACATACTTGTTACACCCTCTTTCATACTCTCACCGCCCATATAGTATATGCCTAGACATACCAGAGTCTGTAAAAAAATGTAGTTTCCACTCCTGCTTAACGCTCAGCAACTGAGGAGTGCGACGACTGGTTCGCTCATTGTCAGTATAATGTAACCTGGTTGAAGGTCCTACTGGGTGTCTTCGGCAGTATGTTTCAGTGAGGTAGCACTATAAAGTCGACATCAGTTCCGCGCTATTTTAGGAGACAAACACGAACATATCGCAGCCTCCCAAAACACACACGCACGCACTACACGCATGCATCTTGCACACAGGGGAGGCCGTCCTTAAATGACCATTGCTGTTGATAGGATGTTAAACAATACTAAATCAAACCAAACCTAAACCACGTGTGTTGTGTACGCGTACATGCCTATATGTATGCCGGAGACAGGGTATGTTGGCGTACTTGCCTCCTTGTGAAAGCGAGGATCTTACTTTATATTGGCACCCATTGCTTTATTTTAAATCTTCATATTTTTGTTTGCTTCTACCTTCCTTTTATTTACCAGCGCCTTACTTAGCAGTACCTCGCTTTTGGTTTTCCTTTCGAACGTTCGCCAAGCTGAGGAATCCAATATATTTTTCCCCAGGCCTTGACATGCCAAAGTATTTAAAAATGGTTAGGTGTTATTTCCCTGATTAACATTCAGCATTTAGTTTTTTGCAACAACTGGGTCACCCGCTGTCAGTATAAAGTAGGCATCATATTCGTGCTATCCTTAGGAGGCAAATACCCCAACATACACCGTATCCGGCACGCATCCATGCATGCGTAACATACATAGAGGCATGTCCGCAAATAACCTTAGTTTTCGATAGGGCTTTAAACCCTATACGATTAATCTTTGCCTTCTCTTGTGTTGAATGGCCGTTAAGCATGTAATAATTATAACACTTTCACAATTATGTAGCAACGAATGTATTCTCGTTGTTTATTTGCAGATAGCGAGTATTCATCCTTCTGAACATCGTCATGAATCCGTTAGATAAAAATAGTTTGTCCGAGTCAGAGAGAGATGTGTTGGACGGTAAAACCATACTGGTTTTAGGAGATGACCAAATAAATTGCAAATGGATTCGGACTACATTGATGAATTATGGAATCAAGGTAGGTTTAATTTTCTATGATTCACTAGAATACTATATAATACAATGCATTGCGATGAAAAACTCATTGATAATTTTGCAGAGTATTGTTCAAGTGGAATTGATATAATTTCTGATAATAACAAAACTCACTTTCTTTTGCAGATCATCCTTGTTGACCACAAACCGTGTATTTTTCCACCAGAAGATGTATACAAATACATCCAGTATGATTTTACTGATCACAGACAGGACGAAATCCACGCCGTTAGAATAATTGAGAAATTGGCAGCTGATAATTTCTCAATAGATGGGTGTTGTACATTCACAGATGCATGTGGGGTACTTGCTGCTTATTTAAGTGAGAAGTTGGAACTAATTGGGGGTGCCGGCGTAACGGCAGCAAGCATTGCCCGGAATAAAGGTTTAACACAAACTTACCTGCAAGAACAAACTGAAGGCATTCCTCGTTTCCCTAAAACGTACAAATTTACTGGCAGGACTGCTTCGTTTGCATGCGAAAACACGTTGAGGTCCGCAATGAATACCATTGGATTTCCTGCTGTATGCAAACCAAACGAAAGTGCACATGCAAATGGCGTGATGTTGATTCGGAAAGAGGATGAGGGTCGACATCTGTACAAGAAACTTGCTACTTTGCTTGAAGATGGAAAATCAATGATGTTGATGGAATATTTCGATGGCACTGAACACGACATCGAGGTTATTATTTATCAAGGAGAGATAATTGCCGCCATTGTTTCAGACAATGGTCCTACTAGACCTGGATGTTTTATTGAAACATCTATGTCCATGCCATCATGTCTACCTCCAACAAAAGTGGCAGAGCTCAAGAAAGCAGCATCCGACTGTTGCAATGATATTGGCCTGCGTAACGGCGTTTTTAACGTAGAAATGAAGTTGACATCGACAGGACCCAAGCTGCTCGAAATCAATGGACGCATGGGTGGAGATTATGTACGAAATTGGATGCATACCTGTTACGGAGTCGATCTGCTCTGGTATGTGATAGCAATTGCGGCAGGGATCCGACCAAATGTTCCCAAAGAGAATACAACCGTCCATATGATGGGCATTACTTGTGCTTTACCTGTGCATCAGCATATTCTGAGTCACACCGATTTTGGTATCAAAGTTGCAGAACTCGTTCAATCCGGTGCAATTCAGTTTTTTGGCGAGACAAACTGCGGTAGTACAGAATATATATCCCAAAAGAGCGTTGAATTTTGTAATGTTGCAGTGGTGAAACACGACTTGCAAACGGCTAAATCGGCACTTCTTCACGTCTGTGACCTACTAGGTATTCACACCGCACTCTTTGATGTACCGACTTATCTTTCAGATTTTGTTCCGCATCAATAAAGACATTTGGCAGATGCTTTTCCTTAGAATATAACGATGTGACATAGGACATGTACCAGGTTGAATATTTATGCAAGTGTTACTATATGTTTCATTTACAAAGATGGTATGATTGCAGATAAAATAATAAACTTAAATCGTAATTATCCTTCAGGCACGGAGCTTACATATAGTGTTCATGTTAACACTTGAAAGATACCAAGCAAAGCCAAGTATCGCTTACATGTTAAGCATTATGTCAAAATAGCAAAGGAACAAAGTTATCAACTTCATGCTGAAAATTAATGATAAAATTGAAAGGTGTCAAGTATTCAATATCATATCCACAGATATACATAATAATGCATAAGACGAAATGAGAAATTAAGTCTGGTGACAAAGGATTCATAAAGTTTCAACCTGATGATATAAGTTCGTAAGGAAAGCAGACGTAAGGAAACTGGCTATTTAACTTATAGATTGTAGATAGTTGTTAGGGGTTATCATCCTTAGAATGTTTATTTATTCGGAGTTACCAGTTTTTGAATATTATTTAGCATTAAACTCGTCCGTTCATTAGACGATGTTATTGACAAAGCGGCACACCCCTTCCCGCAGGATATAAGCAGGATATAAAGGGGTAGCTGTTGATATATGCATTCTTTGATTCGTCGACGGCTGTCGGCATAAAACTGTAAGAATCGCGATTCGTCAGCAGATAATCGAGCAACACAAAGTGAATCCCCCGTTTTCACGTACAAGTAGGATTCTAGTATCAACAAGGGAAAGCTCCTCTTTATCGCTCAATGGATCTTCAGCATCGCTCTTTCAGGAACTTGGGAATAAAAATTAGAAAATATGTGAATTTGACGCTGGAAAGGATTGAAAACTGTACTATCAGAAGGAAACCTTACATTGTGTCGCATTGGAACTACATCATGCATGCTCTGACAATTTCATTTCTATTATTCTCTTTCCATATATAATTATGATATGAACCAGTATGTGAAGTATGTGTAATTGTAGCTTTATTTTACAAATATATATGTTGCATAGATAGGAGTGATGTACTTAGACATTCACTGGAGTAGATCGTTATTAGTGTGTTATGGAAATTACTGTACAATATTTAATCAAAATAGATGATCCTGTGTTTTACTAATGAATGCAGTGTGATTGATGTTTGAATATCTACATGCATAGCCTATACATTTTGAAAATAAATGTGAAACAGATATCGATTGTTCATGTAAATATTATTGACATTGTGGAGAATGAATCACTCCAATGCTACTGTAACGTTTTTGAGCATCTCACCTCTGACACCATTTGTAACGTTTTTAGGCATTCAACTCTGATATCAATTGTAAAGTTTTAAGGCATTCCACTCTTACACCATTTGTAACGTTTTAGGCATTCCACTCTGATATCAATTGTAACGTTGTAAGGCATTCCACTCGGACACCATTTGTAACGTGTTTATGCTTCCGGTTCTGACACCATTCCTTCCTTTATCTGTTCCGTCGAAAGTAAAACTAACAAGTGCAGTTCAAGTTAACTGTACATTTATTACAGAACCAGCAAAAGTTCACAGGATTAGTATACAAATCATATTGGTACTCAACCTAAACTGCAACTATATATATCTCTTAACTTCTCACCAAATATCTCATATCTCACTTGCTCCCAATCTCTGTCTATCTTCCCCTAATCTCAACCACTATCGCACCACTCCAAGACCTGTACTCTCTGGGTCCTAGACTTCCTCTCCAGTCCAAGACATCTCGTCCCATCCACTCGCCATCCTAGTACTCCTTATCCATGTGCAATGAATATCGCCTTTAAAATTCCAGACCACCGTGTGGATCATTACCTGATTTGTTGCGCTTGGTTGTCATTGGCCGTTTGTTGTATTTTTTGGTTATTTGTGGAAGGTAAACTTCATCCTTTTCGTTATTGTGATTTTTTTTATAAATGGTGAGAGCTGTTTATATGTATTTAACTGAAACTTAACAATCCAACGGATCATTTTTAGATCATGTCTGAAATATACATGTTAAAAATAAGTATCTTTGTAGTTGAGCTTCACATTATTTCATGATAAATCTCTGGTGTCCTCATGCTAAATAGTTCTTATATGTGAATGACACTTCCTATTGTGGATTATTTGTTAAGATTACCTATGAATACTTGATACGCAATATTGTATGTAAACGACGTCTGATATGCTCCTTAATGTGTGAGGTTTGCTATTATTTTACACCATCACTTTCATGCACCAAAACTGATACATTTTTTTTTATTTAACAGATTTATTCTCTTTGCATATAAATATATAACTGGATGGCAGGAGGCAGACACATGCGTTATAAACCAATATATTATTCTAGTTAGACATTTTAAAGCTACAGGTATGTTACCGGCGATTTGTCTCGGAAAAACGGATTTCGTATATGTATCATAACCCTTGTAAACAGGTGAACTTCTCATTTGCCACTCGGGTCATATTCATACGCATCCTTAAATTTAACACTTGACAAAGTTGAGAAAAGAAGGTTAGGGGCTATTGGATTGTTTATAGGCTGATAGGTATATATATAAATAAACGCCTAAGTCGAAGTCTCAACAAGTAGTGTTGTTAGGAAGGATCGGGGTAATCCGGTAAACGTGAAAGGCGAAAATCGGGTAAACGAGAGAGGAGGAAAACTGAGGTAATCGGGTAAAAGGGATAATCGGGAAAGGTGGATAATCAGTCAAACGGGGAAAGCGGACAATTCGGGTAATCAGGGAAACGGGTGAAGTGGATAACCCGGGGTAATCAGGTAAACGGGAAAGGCGAATAAATAGAGGTGGTTGGTTATCATGTTTATAGTCAATCTTCAAAATGTATGAAGACACGAGGTTTACCGAGTATCTTTTACAATTTGAAATTAACTGATGGGAGTTAGATAAACGTGATAACTTATCATCACGAGTTTGGGGATCTGTTTCTCCCATAACGTTCGTATTTTATTTGAAAAAACTCATTTTTCCCTTGGCAAATACATCATGTGTTTCAAATGGGGGAAATATTTGCCATGGAACAATGGAAAATGACGTCGAATAGCATTGTTAAGTGTCGTCCTATATCAGGGATTGACCAATGAAATTACGTCCAGGGTGTTACCCACAAGTGGGTAACCAAAAATGTTTACCAACTTCTAGCAGATTATCCAATGAACCAATTTGAGGAAGTCTACCGTGGTTGCGGGAGAATCAGGGTTATCATATAAACGGGATAGGCGAATAATCGGGGTATCAGGTAAACATCAAATCAGACATTTTCATTTTTACAAGTTCACTGAAACGAAACACTCCAGCAAAACCAATTAAACAAATAGTACAGACTCTCACGTCCATCAAACTATTGAAAACATTTAATTTGTCCACCATTTGCACCAACTGATTAGACGTCATGGTGATTTTTTAACAATAGGTTTAGACAACAATCTGTTTGCGCCCTCCAAATTTGTCAAAACAAATTTATCATTACTCGGATTTGACTAGACCGCAAAATCATACTGCCATTTAATGCTGTAAAAATGAGAATTTAACACCGAAACAGAAAAATTCTCCTCAACCAAAGCTGACAGATAAACAGCCAAAGTATAAGGTTTGGCTCGTAAGTAATCTAACTTGATTTACTTGCACCAGTCTCTTAACTACATAAAATATAAGTCATATTTTGTATTTGTATCGTTAGCATGACTGGCTCTTGCCTAAATCCAACATTTGATGATGCCCGATTCAGAAGAGTATTCCGTTCCGTATTTTTTTTTATTTCTTACCATATACCGCTTAATTTGTATCCCGATTTCTGAAAATTAGTAAAACAAAAACAAAAAACACCCTTGATCAAAATGTCAACATGGGAGTAATTGCACGTAATATCAACATACGTGTGTCACATTACGAAACGCCATACACGTTTCGTCTTAATCATCGACACGATTTTGTGCAAAAAGTACATGTCTACAATAAAAGGGACACGTGCGATTAGCAAGCAAAATCTATCGTCCCAATTGGCCTTCGTTAATTATTTTCCTACATTTTCTCACCCTCGTTATATATTACACCGTATGCACGCATGATTTTTTTTTTCTTAAATCAACTGATTTCAAGTGGTTTGAACTTAAGCTAAATTTGATGTCAATGATGTCAATTTTATTTTCAGCTATTTGAGAAAAATCAAGTCGAAATAATGTTAAATCAAAGAAAGAAGACTTGAAGTTTTTCCAAGCTTTGTGAATTAATTTGTCAAAACGCTCAGAGGCTCAGAGGGAAAGAAACACACGGAACGGTGGTGAAAGCGACAGAACTCGACGTATGGCATTATATTACATCTAGGTGATCCCCTATCATACTATCTATGTGATTTCTTGGTACGATAAGCTTATTCTAGATGACCTATCAGGTTACCCAAAGAATGACCTTAATTCATATTACGATTATTAATATAAATATATATATGAATAAGACTTACCTATACTCCCTACACACACACAAAAGTATATGAGACACTCCAAGTCCCCCATCCTCGACCGTTCGTGTCATCACAACTCCATTTCAGCTCAGTATTCCTGATGTTATATTTCCTGTTCCGACATATAAGGCAATAATAAACCTTATGACCTGATTTAGTGTATGTGTCAATTACTCATCAAATGATACATATATTTACAATCATACCGCATGTGATACATCCATGTACATATTAATACCAATTAAAGATCCATGTCCAAATTTACTTCCAATTTCTCCTGTTCACAGTAACCTCTCCTTTACTCCGATTTTAATGTTTCTGTAGTATATTAGGGTTTATTGATAAGGAAGCTCAATCAGTTACAGCGATAGTATGACAGTCCAATGTTCGCATCCCGGTCAAGCCATTCATTTTACACACTGACCACTTTTTTTTTTTTTTTTTTTT